TTTCTGGGACTGAAAGATATCCTTTTTTCCCCCATGTCTGCTCATTTTCTTTCTCAAAGTTAAAAAAAAATTTCATTGTAACTTTTTTTCTTGGAGACATTTTCCTTTAGTGCCTCAACTTTCCTTCAAAAAATAAGCAATCCATTTACAGTACATACATACCTCACATTTTTCTCACCCCTCTCTTTACTTGCCACATGTTTGGGTAAAATCTAAGAAAAGGAAATAAGCATGGTTGAGAGCAGGCAGAGCTAGAGGACGGGGGTGAGTTAGAGCATCAAACTCATCTCCTCAGGGTTGCCCATGTGGAAGTGGATCTAACTACACATTTCAAATCACCATGTATATTTTAAGTTGCCAGAGTACATAGCAAATCTCTTGGTATTGTTTACTATTTCACAGATAAGTTTCCCTGTATGCTGTCAGTCTTATTTCCATATTGTAATCCTTTATTCGAAGTCCCTCTAGAATAACCATTTCCCCATTATTATGTGTTTCATTCTAAAGAAGGCATAGGAGAAAAAGCACCGACTTTGGTTCACGGCAGCCTTGTGTTTGATTCTTAGCTACATTCGTTACTATTGCTGTGTGACCATGGACAGGTTTCTTCATATTAAAGTGTGAAAAATAAATACTTCAAAAAGTTGTTTTGAGATTAAATGAGAGAATTTATGTAATGTGACACACGATAACCAGCACAAACTAGTTGCTCAGTAAATAGTGGTAGTCACTCAGCTAACTAAAGATTCACAGCGCAAACTCTCCTATTTAAACTGCCTTCATTTGATGGTGAGAAGAATGTGTGCATGATAGTTCTGAAGAACTGAACCTAAACACAGTTAAACTCTTAAACACCTATTGAAGTGTAGTATTGGAATGAATATACTGTATTTACTACAGTGCTTATAATAAAACCCTGGTTTCTTGTATAGTTTGTTTCATTGAGGGCAGGTATCTTTTTCCCATCCCTGTCCTTTATCCTTAGCACCTAGAATATACCTAATACATAGTAGGAAAAAAAAATTAAAACAAAAAACACCACAAGTCTGTTAAATGAATTTACAAAGTCAGCATATTGTCTGATTAAATAAGACTGTCTGGTGTGTAAGAAGCATTAACAATGGGCAAGCATCTCATATAGCTCAAGCAATATTTATTGAAGATTTATCTGTTAAGGTATTTTATAATCTACCATGTGATAAGCACTTCCTTATACATGATTTATTTTAAAAACCCTCACAACAGCCCTATGAGGTAGGTAATTGCCCTGTTTTGTAAATGAGGAAAGTCTACATTTTACCCAGCTCCTGTGACTCTAAGTCCAGTATGCAATCTACTGTCCCATTACTGTCTGGGATTCCTGCACGAGCACTTTAGCTAATCTAGTCATTCTGTACATCACACAGTGTCTTGGCTGCTTTTGGTGTCTGATTTGCTATGGGGGGTGGTGATAAATCATCTCTTTACTTATAATGCAGTTTGAAACTAGGTAGATAGGGAAATACAGAGAATTCTTGTGGCTTATACTAAGATAAACCTCTGTCCTTAGTGCTGGGGTGGATTTTCAGTGGTTCACAGAGAAGTTGCCTGATAGTCCCTTTACACGTATTGGTGCCAGTGTGAGTTTTTGACTCTTGGCTGAAGTTCACTAGCATGTGTCCTGTTAGAGTCAAGACAGTACATTCTTATACTCCAGAGATCATAACTGGGTTTATAATGATGCTGCACGGTTTATTTTCCTGACTTCCCAGCTGCTAGATCTACATCCAGAGCAAACTTTTAGCCATTATATTTCCAGCTACTAAAGAAAAGTCATACCGAGTGATGTTACTAACATAAATTAGGAGAACAGTGCTCTCTGTGTTTTACCTTATTGCTTCATTTACCTGTCCACATTATTGTGTCCTGATGTTTTGCATGGACAGTGGCTTAGGACATAATATCTTCTCTGCAGAAAGCCCCATGGAATTGAGAGAGAGAAGGGGCTGCCAAGATATCCTCAGGCTAACTAGAAAATTCTATCAGCGTGAACTCAGTAGCTCAGCTTCATGCAGGTTATCAAGGAGTCCCTCATGATTACCCCCAGCTCAACTGTCTTACTTTGAAGAGCCCAGGTTCCAGACATGTAACTCCTATTTAACACAGTCATGTTTTGGCTTTTCCCTCACCCGTCTCCAGGCTAGTGTTTTTGTTAACGGGCAGATAGTTAGCTTGCATGTAAGGCATTGAGAGAAACTGACCAACATTTCCTGCAGTAAGGTGTGATTCTGGTCACTGATCAAACCTCTAACCAAATAAACACAGTTAGGTGTAATAGACTTCTTTTTAGTGTTTCCATTGTTCAGAATGTTGTATGTACCTTCATGCCCTGATAACCAGGTTACTGAGCAGTACATTTTTAAGAGCTATTTTTCTTTGCTTTTGGTGCTGTTTCTTATCTGTTTCACTGGTCACTGTAAGAAAAAATGGCTCATGTTTCTATTGTTTCTAATTAAGGACTCCAAGATGACTTGTTAGAAAATCTTTACACCTATATTAAAGTTGAGAAATATTAAATTCTGCTACCAGAAGTAGCAGTGCTTTCCAGGCAGTTCTGTGACTGCCACATTAAATGAAGTTATTCTTTTAAGTGAATGAAAATATATAAAACTGTATATTATTAATTATATAAAGGAAATAGACATGCTGAGCTTATAAGTAGCACTGTAGTACCATATGAATTTATATTGTTTTAATATTAAAAACTTTGAAGAAGATAAAATGAGATGAATTATTATATATCCTCTGCTGTTTTCCACTTCATGAAGCATTTTGGATCTTTTAACTTTCTGACTATCAGAGCATGAAGAAACATGACCATTCTGATGGTGATGTAAGAGGGGATCCAGTGCCAGTCTTCTGTGATGTAAGAGGGGATCCAGTGCCTGTCCCTTTCATCTCTTTTTAGTAGAGTCTGTTGTCTCCAAGTGTTGACTGTCTGTAGCAAGCTGATGTCTTTTTTTTTTTTTTTTTAATATATTAGTTTGTGGTTATAATCTGACTTTGGGACAAAAGAATTTATGAAAATATTTTTGCCATTGTCCCTCGTTAAAAATATCTGTGTTACAATCAGAGTAAAATGTTATTTATTTACAAGCTCTGATCCCTGGATGAAAGTACTAGGAAGTACAAAAAGAGTTTTGGCTTGCCTCGTCTTTTCCTATCCAAACTTCCTCTGCCTTATTTCCCTCTTCCATTGTTTCCCTCTTCCTGACATCCATACTTGTTAAGATGATAGAATGAAACTTAGCTTGCCTTACTGTTAATTTTAAAAATTGAAGTCTTAAGAAACAAGCAAGGTCCATAGCTTTCATTGGGATTATATTACTTAGCAGTCAGTCAACCTTTGTCATGTATAACTTTTAAGAGATTCTAATCATTCATTTACAATAGTTTATTTTATTGGGTATGTGAGCTTTACACAGATGTTTGTATTGACCACAGTTAAACATTTTGGCATAAAAACATTAAAGTGAGTTAGTTATATATTTTGTGTCACTATAAAGACAAAATTGAGCAAGTCCAGGAGCTAGATCATCTATGAAGCAAATACCCATAGGATATTTGTTTATGTTTATAAGCAAATCCACATTAATAATTCTTTTCGAGGCTCTCCATTTTATGAGTAAAGGTAATGAGACCCTGTGTTGTGATTTTGTTGGCAGAGGTTCATGAGGAAACAATGCAAATATCTGCTGTAGAGCTCACCTGGTCAGAAAATAAGTGTGTAGCACTTCAGCCTTGAGAATGTTGCAGCCAATAAAGAGAACCACAATTCTTCCTTTAATAGATTTGTTTTCTATTGGGCATTATGCCCTTAGTTTTAGTTGATGGCATTTTATTAATTAGAATAAACATTGAATTTGCCATACATAGAGTCCTTTGATAACTGAGGAAACCAAGAAGTGTCAGTGCTCTTGTCCCCCATATAAAATATTTACACTTTATCAGTTGTCCCACATGTATGTACTGCCGAATCTATTACTATTACGATAATATTGGGAAGAAATGTTGGTGGGCTCTCATACATTTAATAGAACTCTTAAAAGAGAATGGTAAATATGACTTAATTGGATTAGACAAAGAATTATTCTGCCAGAAACATTTGTGTGTTATATGCATGTAAATAATGCACCAGGACTTCAAAAAATTTAAAACCTCACTTCCTAGTAGTTTAGAGGAAATAGATTTGGCTATTTAAACTTGGATATAATATCATGTGGTATCTTTCTAAATATGGATATTTGTCATTAATCACATGTTCGGATTTTTAATTTTGCTGCTTTGGGCCATCTAATCCAACTTTAAATTTTTAAGGCAAGTTGAACAGCTGTAATTAGATAGTATTCCTTGCTGCCTTTTTTTAAAAAAAGGGTATATAAAATTTGAATTGTGTGTCAATGTATTTTATATTTATAGTTTTAATAATTTAGAGAAGTCCAGGGTGATATTTGAATTTTCATCAGTAAAGTTTCTATTAATTGTTGTTATATTGAATGAGTTTATTTAGTTAAAAAAAATTGCCATACTCAATGTATTTCCCATATATTTCACATTATTACATAAGAGAGTCTCAAATTTCCTTAAAAGCTGATCAGTGATCAAAATTTTGTCTATCAAAAAAGTTGTTACTGCTGTTGGTTCCAGATTTCTCCTCTTCCCACTCTGCCAGAGGAAAAAGTGCTATGTACTTATTTTGTGCCCTGTGATGTTGTACATGCTTAATAAGATCCCAGATTGCAAGTAGCAGTAGTAACTGCTTTGTTTACTGAATGATTTCCTTTATGCTCTCTTGTACTTGTGCACAGAGCTACTCTGATAACTGTTTACTAAAATAATCATAATGCACATAATTTTTTAAAAAAGCAACGAAGCCAAATCATAAAATTTTCTTGGAGTCTTATTATTTCACTCAGATACTACTATTCTTTTTATTTTTATATTGCTTGGTAATTTGACAGGAACCCCTTGGTCAAATTGTATCTGTCTTTCTTTATCCCATTTTACCATTAGAAAATGTTGCAATGAAAGATCCTCCGGACTTATTGGACAGGCAGAAATGCCTGAATGCCTTGGCGTCTCTTCGACATGCCAAATGGTTTCAGGTTGGCTCTTTGTTATTATCTTATTGTTACTGTAGCCTTGTGCAGGTTTCATTTGGAACACCTGCCACTTACTGGTTTCTCTGTACTATATTGTTGTTATGTAAATAAATGAGTTAAATTGAGTAAAGTGCCTAGTATAGATTCTGCTATAGTTAATGATGTTTATCATGTTCTGTTTGGCTTAGTATTCTGAATTTCAAATTATTGCTTATAAAATACAAACATGAGTGAGAAAAGCTAAAAGTTAAGGTATAGATAGTTGCCTGGAATGGGGTTGCCATGAAGCTACAAAAGCAATTTTAACATTATGCTCCTGTTACTTTAAAATCTGCCTTTATAAATCACAATTTTATGACTTTTGATACTCTGATTTTTGTTTTGCTTGACATCTGGTAAATGACTTGCTAATTTGTATTCACTTTAAAGAACCTATCCATTATCAGTGTGCTTAAAATGAAGAATGGATTTCAACAGGGATATTGGAATCATTTTGTTTGTTTTAGGCAAGGGCAAATGGATTAAAATCATGTGTAATTGTCCTCCGTATTCTGCGTGATTTGTGCAACAGAGTTCCCACGTGGGCACCATTAAAAGGATGGGTAAGTACTTAAACATGGCTAAAAGCAAATTCTTAAGCTGTAGCAGAGGAAATCCTGTAGAAATATGTTACTGTAAAATGGCTGTCTTCTGAGTTAGCTAAGGTATCTGCTTCTGGTTTTGCCCTGGAAAATTAATTAAGCATCTTTATATAGGAATTCTTTTTTTTTTATGTATATAACTTATCTCTTCTATCTCATCATGTTCCTGTTGCAGAGCCTGAGGTACTTTTTGCTGCCAAAAGGGTTTTATACCTTTTAGAACTAAGTGTCTTCTTGCACTTGACTGTGTACTGATCACTCACTGTTCACCTGCTGCCCGTGAAAGCCTCCTTGGCTGGCCCCTTTCTCTTTCAGTGCCGCCTTCCATTACAGTGGAAATTGCCTGACTGGCCAGTTAAAAGGATGCTATTCCTTTTGTAACTCTCTTCCAGTGGAGACACTTACAAATAAGTTCGTGTTAGTAATTGAAGTCAGGCAGACAGTATACTTATCCTGATTATGGACATAATTTATATATTGTAAAATTGACTTAATTTGGAAATTGTTACACTTGACCCAATCAAGACTACAACTTAAGAACATTATAAAACAGTTTAAATAAAGCTATAATGGGTTATTTATAAATTAATCTTGCAATTATTGCTTTGATATCGTACTTGATTTATTGGTTTATTAAATATGGAGATTTGGTTCTCTGTTCTAAATATAGTGCTTGGTGCAGGCTACCTGAAATTAAGTCTTATTTTATATTGAGATATTTGTGGTTTGAATGCTTCCTACATTTAGTGGGAGATAGGTGGGATGGGTTTGTACATTGGCTAGTTATTAGCTATTACTAACTTTTATGAAGCCTTGTTAAATCTTTGTTAAATGAATGAGATAACCATAGTTTCTTTAGCGATCCTTTCAGGGTAACTGAAAAGAAAGTTTTTGTTACAAAAATGTCTTCTGAAAATATTATCTCAAAAGTGCTTGGTTTAAAAACTCTGGCTGGGGTAAAAGTTGATAATCATGGGGGGAAAAGTTAAGTGGGCTGTAAATGTTAAATTGACTTTCACTTTTGGCTCCCCTGTAGATAGGAATGTCAGTTCACATTTAACTAGAATCCTTTTAACAGTTGGTACACATACTAATTTGTGATTTAATATCTTCTAGCCCCTAGAGCTCATATGTGAAAAGTCTATAGGTACTTGTAATAGACCTTTGGGTGCTGGGGAGGCCTTGAGACGAGTCATGGAGTGTTTGGCATCTGGAATACTACTTCCTGGTAAGGGTTTTAAACTCAGGAGGCAGAAGAATCAGAAAAATCTCATTTTATTTTATTTTTCTAAATATATATTCAATTCTCTGCATGGAAAAATGATATGTAGGAGTTATTTTGCTTGGAATTTTAGCAACTAGAATGTTTGTGTGTTGGTTAGTGCTATAAAACTCTCTTTTTTGCTATTTATAATTTGTGTTTCATATGTTCTAAAATAAAGGGTGCTAATAAGATATTGTGTCTGCTATGAATTTGCTTTACCTAGAAGTCTGAATTGAAAATGCAGATGTTTGGTTAAAATGTATGAAGTTCATTCTGTTTGTAGTCTGGTGTTAAATTTGGAAAATTTAAATTTGGTCTATTTTCCATATGTAATTCCTTTAAAGATTTGGTATGGTTCATTGTGCTATTTCTAAATTTTCAAAGACAGAACCAATTTTGGCCTTAGATATACAAGTAACTTCCAGTATAAAATAAGGACATTTAAAATGCTAACATACTGAAAATGAGTGTCCTTTTTACCGCACTTAATTGAACTGACTTTTAACTTGGTTCCTCAGTTTTTTTTTCTTTTTCTATTCATTCTTCTCTCTTTTGTGTTAGTTTAGTGGATTTTAAACCCAGTTCTAAATGATTCTTGCATTTTTCTTTGCTTTAATTAAAGGGGGTCCTGGTCTTCATGATCCTTGTGAGCGAGACCCGACAGATGCTCTGAGCTATATGACCATCCAGCAAAAAGAAGATATTACCCACAGTGCACAGGTAGAAGACTGGGCCTATCACTGTGATTTGTTAGAGATCAAAACTTTATTTTCTGAATTGTTCTGTTTAAATACTTTTTTCTTGGTGTTGCTAAGGACTTCTTCCATCATAGTATCAGTGTTTAATGAATGTTGTTTTAACTAGATGTTCTACGGGCTTTATGAATGGCTGTTGAAATTTGATTAAATATAATGTTTTGTTCTTTAGCATGCACTCAGACTATCAGCCTTTGGCCAAATTTATAAAGTGCTGGAGATGGACCCCCTTCCATCTAGTAAACCTTTTCAGAAGTATTCCTGGTCAGTTACTGATAAAGAAGGTGAGCACGAAAGTTTTTTATTAGGTTTGGGGGTTGACAGTGGTGAGATGGTCATAGGATGCATCTCTTTTTAGAGTTGAGGGACTTAATAATTACTCATCCAAGTCATGTATGAAGAAGTTTATTGCTTTTCTTCCCGACTTCTCTTCTGTCCCCATCAGTGACATCAGCTTGGTATCATTTATTCTTATTAGTGACCAGCTCATTTGACTATGTTGGCCAGATGCCATTACAGCATAGGCCTAGGGACCATACTTTGAGAACCCCTGGTCTAAGGAGAGTAGATAAACCATAAACTGGGAGGAGACATTATTACTGTCACTAATCAGTTGGATGATCTTTCTCTTGCTTGGGAATGTTATGTAACGAGAAAGAGAAAATCCAGAGGAGGAGAAAGTCATATTGGGAAATTCAGGACCATCTTCCATTTGTACTAGTCTATCTGAACTCAAGAGTTTCAGCAGAAAAGAATGTAGGTTTTGGGGTCAGTCTGACCTAGCTTTCTAAAGTAGTTACACTATTTACTATTATTAGGCCTTTAGCAATTAGTTGATCTCCCTCAATTAGGGATATACCCTCTTATTTTATTGGTTGTTGTCAGGTTAAAATGCCTGACTCAGTGCCTGGAATACAGTGTATATGCAATCCTGAATCCATGTATTCTCCTCATTATGTCACAAAAAACATTTTTCCCCTTCTCCTGTTATACTAGAAGGTGGGATGTTTAACACCCCATATTCTTCACCTGGGACCCAGCCTATTTCTCATAACTGATATTATTTTACTAATAATTTCTACATGACAAGAATAGTGCAGTTGCCCAGTCTGTTTATTTAGACAACAGAATTCCAGTGGGTCCAAAGACTTTTTCAGGGAGTCCACAAGATCAAAGTGTTTTATGATAATAATATTAAGGTATTTTTTTGCCTTTTCTATTCTTTCTTTCATGAGTGTGTGCATGTGACATGTAATGACATTATCACCCTGATGGCTAATGAATGTTTTCTTGTGTAAACATTCTTGTTTAAAAATTTTTATTTTAATTTCTAATAAGCTAAATATTGATTGATATTACCCACAAAGCAAAGCTCTTTGGGTCCTCAGTGGTATAAAGAGTATAAAGTGGTCCTGGGCTAAAAAGTTTGAGGATCACTGCCTCACATTGTAAGCTCCTCAGGGGAAGGAATACTCCAGATTATATGATAACCTTTATTATAAACCAGTGCTCAGTAAAATTTGTGGAATAAGAGCCAATTTCTTTTAGAGAGTGCTCACTCAGTGGTGAAGAAATTGTTGGAAGGGATTTACATATTTATTTGACATGAAGCATTGTCTGTGAATTGAATGATTGAATAAAAATTTCGAATATGTATTTAGATATATATGACTAGCAACAGAAAATTTTATTTCAATTGCTGAATTCAAAGTAGTTCTTTTGGTTTTGTATTTTTTCTTTTACTAGATTAGTAAAAGTACATCTGCTGATATGTGACTTATATATATATTTTTTTAGCTTTAAATACCTTTCTCAAAAGTTTGGGAACTGCTGGTTTCTCAATTTATAGCATAAAATAGAACCAGACTGCTAGTGTTCCTGTTTTAGCCCTATCAAGTTACTGGCTACATGACCTGGCAAGTCACTTAAACTATTTTGTGCCTTGACTACAAGATGTTCTTCCTCATACTTTTATGCCTTTAGCACCTAGCTTCTTGACATTCACACTTAAACTTTATTACTGTAATTCTGGAATTCTTGGTGATTTCAGTATGCATTCAGATGATTTTTTTCAAAACTATGACATATCAATTCCTTGACTTCCTCTCCCACAAATATTTTATCTTCTATCTTACCTCAGTTATCCATTCTGTGGCTATACACTAGACCTTGTCTTCATCAATAACTGTACCTGTACCCTTCTCATAATAGTATTTTATTTTATTTTTTATTTTTTGTTTTTTTTGCCTTTTTTGTCTTTTTTACTGACCGGTAACGGGATCGCAACCCTCGGTGTTGCGCCCGTACTCGTATTTTATTTTATTTTTTATTTTTTATTTTTTTTACCTTTTTTGTCTTTTTTACTGACCGGTAACGGGATCGCAACCCTCGGTGTTGCGCCCGCACCTCGCTCAGCCAGTGAGCGGGAACCGGTCTCCACATGGGATCCAAACCCTCGGCGGGAGCGCCTCCACGCTCCCAAGTGGCGCACTCTCCAGTGTGCCACCAGGCCGGCCCCTCATAATCGTATTTTAAAGAATCCTGCTTTCTGCCTTCCTTGTCATCACTTTGTCTAGTACCCTTATTTCCTTTCTTGAACCTCATCATTGATTCTGTGTGCCACCAGGCTGGCCCCTCATAATCGTATTTTAAAGAATCCTGCTTTCTGCCTACCTTGTCATCACTTTGTCTAGTACCCTTATTTCCTTTCTTGAACCTCATCATTGATTCTGTGGTTGTCTTTGTTCTTCATCTTCCTGACTTCTAAATATTAAAGTGTCCCAGGGTTCAGTTCTCAGACCTTTTCTCTTTATTTACACTGACTCTTTAGGGGATCTCATTTAGTCTCCTGCCTTAAGATACCTTCTTTCTGTACACTGAAGATTGTCCCAAATTTATACCTCCTCCCCAGACTACCACCCCTTGAACTCAAACCCAGATATCAAAATGCCTCCTCAGTATCTCTTACATGGATGTCTAACAGACGTATCAAAGGTAAGGTGTCTAAAATCCAAACTCCTGTCCTCAGTCTGCCTTTGCTCTTTTCTTTCTATAGTTATTCATATCCCAGTCATTGGAAACTCTTTGTCTGTGTGCTCAGGCCATAATCCTTTAAGTCATCCTTGAATCCTCTCTTTCGTTCACCCATATCCAAGCCATCAGCAAATCTTGTCTGTTTACTTTCATAGTATGTTTAGAATTCAGCTAGTTCTTTAACTTTTTCACTGCTAGTGTTCTTGCCTAAGCTGCCATCCTCTCTCACCTGGATTCTTGCAGTAAACTATCTGCTCTTTCTGCTTCCATCCTTGACCATGAGTCTGTTCTCAACAAAGCAGCAATTGTTTTCCCCAAACTTTTTTTTCCCCTTAACTTTTTATTTTAAAAGACTTACAGATTCACAGGTAGTTGCAAAGATGGTAGAGGTTCTGTGTACCCTTTTCCCAGTGGTTACATCTTATATAACTATAGTATAATATCAAAACCAGGAAACTGATATTAGTACAATGTGTGTGTATAAATGTTATGCCATTTTATCACGTGAGTAGATTTCTGTAACCACCACTGCAGTCAAGATGCAGAACTATTTCATCACCACAAAGATCTTCCTTGTGCTGCCCCTTCAGAGTCACAATCACTTCTTTCCCGCTAACTGTTCCCAGGCCCTGGAAACCACTAAGTTTTCTTTATCTCTATAATTTTATCACTTCAAGGATTTTATGTAAACGAAATTATACAGCATGTGATCTTTTGAGATTCCCCCCCGCCCCCAGCATAAATGCCCTTGGGGTCCGTCCAGGTTAGTGCATGTGTCAATAGTTTGTTCCTTTCCATTATTCACTATATGATGGTGTGGATGAGCCAGAGTTGGTTTAACCATTCACCTACTGTAGGACATTTTGTTTGTTTTCAATTTTCGACTGTTAAAAATAAAGCTGTTATGAATGATCACATGTAGGTTTTTGTAAGGAATTCACAAAAGCTCAGGTTTGTGTGTTAGATTGGCTGGCAATTTTCCTTCGTTGTAATGCTTTAAGTTTTGGCTTCAAAGTTATGCTGGCTTTATATAGTGAGTTAGGAAGTGTTCCTTCTTTTTCTGTTTTTTGGAAGAGTTTGTTTAAAATCAATGTTATATTTTCCTTAACTGTTTGGAAGAATTCATCAGTGAAGCTTACTTGGGCATGTGGTTTTCTTTGTGGCAAGGTTTTAAATTATGGGTCTAATTTCCTTAATAGGCATAGGACTATCATCTTCTTATGAAAGTTTTTGTTAAGTTGTGTTTTTCTAGGAATTGTCTATTTCATCTAAGTTTAAAAATATTTTGGAATAAAGTAGTCATAAGATCATTTTATCTTTTCATTGTATGCAGTATCTGTAGTAATGTCCTCTTTTATACATTTCATACCTGCTCTTTTTTGCTCATTACTCTCACTAGGGGTTTATCATTTTTATTACTCTCTTCAAACAGATCAGCTTTTGGCTTTGTTGATCATCTTCTGTTGTATCAGTATGTTTGTATTTTATTTCATTTCATTTAATTTCTACTCATCTGCTCATATCCTTAGGTTTTTTTTGTTTTGTTTTGTTTTTAAAAGATGACTGGTAAGGGGATCTTAACCTTTGACTTGGTGTTGTCAGCACCACACTCTCCCAAGTGAGCCATGGGCTGGCCATCCTTAGTTTTTAAAACCTCCTTACTACTACCTTTCTTTGTGATTGTCTGCATTTTTTTGTTGTTGTTGTTGTTTTTGACAGGTGGCCTGTATGAGGATCCGAACCCTTGACCTTGGTGTTATACTTTTTTGGGGTTTACTTTGCTGCTCTTTTTTTTTTTTTTCTTTTTTCTTCTTTTAATTTAATTTCATGAGATGAGTAAATACATTATTGGTATATCAGCCTCTTATTATATATTCTGTTAGGGCCGGCCCGGTGGCGCACTGCGCTAGTGCGCCGCTTGGGAAGCACGGAGGCGCTCCCGCCGAGGGTTCGGATCCCACATACAGACCGGTTCCCGCTCAGCCGCTCACTGGCTGTTTTTTTTTTTTTTCTTTTTTCTTCTTTTAATTTAATTTCATGAGATGAGTAAATACATTATTGGTATATCAGCCTCTTATTATATATTCTGTTAAAGATGGTTAGTTTCCCTTTAAGCAAAGTTTCACATACATTACATTCTTTTGACATTACAATTTTCATTACCATCTAGTTAAAACTGCTTTTGTTTTCCTTTTTATTAGTTCTTTCACCCATGGGCCATTTAGATGTCATTTCTTAATTTTTAGACAAATGAGGATTTTCTAGTGTACTCTTTATTTTTGAATTCTTATTCTACTGTCATTTGAGAATATGCATTGTGTGATTTCCATCCTTTGATATTTGTCGAGACATGTTTTATTGTCCAGCACATGGTCCTTTTTTGGTCTGAAAAAGTATTTATATTCTGTAGTTGGTGTTCATAATGTTCTTTATATGTCAGATCACATTCATTCATTGTGTTATTCAGATCTTATATCCCTGTGCTATATATTTTTTTGTTTACTTGTAGTCAGTTACCGGGAGAGTTCTGTTAATTCCTTTCTATTGTGAATTTATCTGTTTCCCCTTGCAGTTCTGCCAGTTTTTAGTTTGTATTGTATTTTTCATTTATAGAATTTCAGCTCTTTTATGGTTTCAGATTTTCTGTCAGAAATTGTTTTTAATAAAGTTTGTTTTTGAATGCTCCATCATCTGGGTTCCTTTTAGGTCTATTTCTCTTGTCTGCTTTGTCTCTTGATTTTTGATCACAATATCTTGTCTTCTCATGTGCCTGAGTATTATGAGTGCTGGAGATTTTAAATGAAAAATTGTAGAGAATGTAAAGCCTAGAATAATGCTAATCTTCCTCTAGGGAGGATTTATATTTGTTTCTGGAAGATGGCTAATGGAATTGGCAATTCTAGATCATTTTAATGCAGTCTAGGATTAAGATGATTTGAAGCTGGTCTTCAGTCGTTTGTGAAGTCCAGACTGTTTCCAGTTCATTTTACTTGTACTGTATAGTGTTTAAGAGGCCCAGCCTGAGTGTGGAGATTCACCAGGCTTTTTCTTCTTGGTGGTCCTTGAACTACAGTTTGGACCCCTGATCCTGGGAGTCTGTTGGAAGTCCTCTGTTCAGTTCTTAATGACCTCTTCTGGATTTGGAAGATGCCCCTAGAGGAAATGTGGCCCCCAATACAGGATTTCCTTCACCTCCCAGGTCTTGACTCCATAATTCTTTATTACTTATGAACAGATATTTATTCTGTGTTTTGTCCAGTTTTTCCAATTGCTCTCACCAGGAGGCCTTCTTTGATTTATTTACTCTCCCATACTGGAAGTGGAACCTTGATATTTTGTCCATTAATGTCGGCTGAGATTGAGAACTACTGTCATATATAACCAGACTCTCCTTATCTCCTTCATGACCTCCTCTCCTTGATCATGCTATTCCAATCACTCAGGTCTTTATATTGTTTCTTAGCATGTTGCTGCCTTAAAACCTTTGTACATGCTCTTTTCTCTGCCTAGAACTCTTTTCCCAAATGGCTAAATAGTTCACTGTTTTACTTTCTCAGGTCTTCATCAAAAGGTCGTCTCATCAGTGATACATTTCTGACCTTTCTGATGAGCACCACATATAAAATAGCAACAGGGAGATTGTTTTGTTCTCTATTATATGTCCAGCACCTAAAATTGTCCTGCACATAGTAATGCTCAGTTAATATTTGTTGTTGAATTAGTTTATAATGGGGATGATAAAGTTTCTGGCCTCATAGAGTGCTTGTGAGGATTAAATAAGTTTAATACATGTAAGATATTAAGAACAGTGCCAGGCATATGGTAAACACTCAAATATTATTTTAAAAAATTGTTGCCTCAGAAATTATTATGTCTCATTACTAGATACTATAAAAGGTTGAAAACTACTTGCTTTTTGTGAAGCAATCCCATTTTTTCCCCCAGATTACCATTATGAATAGCCTCAGATTTTATAGCTTTTCCCCCAGTGGCTGGGATGGTAGAGTGAAGCTTAATCTATGGAACTCTAGGTAGCTGGAGGATTTAGAGAATAGATCTGTGCATTTAAGCCAGCTTGTGATTTCCAGGCAATCAAGGAGCTGCTTTTAATTTAACTTAATGAGAGGGAGGGTGATTGAATAGACATAGTTTCTTTTTAACTTTTATTTCTTAAAGACTGCATGCTGGGAGATTGGCACATTCACAGTTTTATGTAATGCAAATGAAATACAGTACTAAGCAGATATTGCCTTCTGTTGAAGAGAACATCAAGACTGACTGACCAGAGTGGTAAATTTTGACCCAAGCAGATGTTAAAGTCAGGGTTTAGCCCAAGGGACCATAAATCTTGATTATCCGAAAATACATAGTTAATCTCTGTATTATTATAAGCTTTCACTAGTGCATCTGGAAATCTTGTGGCATTAGTATCTTGCCCATAACCTTTTCCTTAGGAAAAACCTAACAACAGCTTTTAAGTTGAAGACACAGAGTTGTTGGAAACACTTGGATAGGTTGATGAGCTTTCTCTAATTGTTTTAAAACTTGGACAGCAAAACTCCTACTTATGCTCGACAGCACTAACTGGCTGCTTTATCCAAGAAATTGATTTATATCACTTCAGTTAGTTTTTGTTCCATACACATTATGTTGTTTCTAAGTTTTTTGTTAAGACAGTTTGTAGGATACAAGACAAGGAAAAAATATCTTTGACCCTCAAGGAGCACTAAGGACACACAGGAATTAATACATATGAAATAGTCATTGATATAGTACTATGTATGGTACTTTTATGGTACTTTATATTTCTGATGCATAGAAACTTTTAGAAAGCTGATATGAGATACGTTTGGTAGGGTAAGTAGGATCATGGAGGTGGTTAACTGCAAATAAAATCTTAAATGATATTTGAAGAGGAAGATGATTTTAGAGTTTGATAATCAGATTTCTGAAAGCATAAGATTTAACATGTGGACTTCTAAAATTTATATAAGTAATAAATGTTAAATTTTAGAAATATTTGAGAGGATATAAGTAAAAATAAATCCTGCCAGAGGTAACTGCTTTTTAATATTTTGATATATAGCTTTTCAGACTTTTTCTGTTCATGCATATAACAGATATGAATATGTGCTACCTTAGTCTGTTTAGGCTGCTATAACAGAATACCTTGGACTGGATAATTTATAAGCAACAGAAATGTACTGCTCACAGTTCTGAAGGCTGAGATGTCCAAGATCAGGATTCCAGCAGATTCGGTGTCTGGAGAGGGCCTGTTGCTTATAGATAGTGACTGCTATGTGTCCTCACATGGTGGAAGGGACAAACAAACTCTCTCGGGCCTTTTTTATAAGGGCACGTGTCCCATTTATGAGGGGCTCTGCCCTCATGACCTAATCACCTCCCAGTTGCCCCACCTCCCACCATTATTACATTGCAGAATAAGTTTCAACATGTGAATTTGGGGGGGGGACATAAACATTTAGACCACAGCATATGCGTAAATATTTGTGTGTATATGTGAATAAATGGGAAAATATTTACAAAAAGTTAAATGTTAAGTTATTTCAAGAAGATTTGCTTTTAAAAATTTTACTTTTCTAGTTATAAATATGGTAATTTAATTGATCAATGAAAAAGTTGTATAGTGTTTGTTGTGATTGCTAAGATTTTCCTGTCTAAACATATTCGATACATTTGGGAGGGTAAGTAGGATCATTGTTTTGACTGGTAATGAATCTCTTCCAATTGTTTTTAGGTGCTGGGTCTTCGGCTCTAAAGAGGCCATTTGAAGATGGATTAGGGGATGATAAAGATCCTAATAAGAAAATGAAACGAAACTTAAGGAAAAGTAGGTAAAATCTTTATTCTTACAGATGTGAACTAGAAAGGTCTTATAGCATAAAATAGAAAAATTGAAAAGTGAAGAATTTGATTGATTTGGAGTTTTAAGAATAGATTTTAACTGAGAAATTGATAATTGAATAACTTTTCTGTGTTTCCAAGCTTAATTGCTTAAGATACAGTAATATTGACAAACGAAAATTAATGTATATAGTAATGCATATTATTTTTACAATGATATTAGCATAATAAGTAATTTTACAGTTATGAAGTGAAGTTCATTTGTACGTGTGTTTTGAAATTCTCATTTTTTTAAAACCTGATAAATTTATAGAAACTTACAAATGCATAGATTAAAGCAAAATGGCTTAACTTCTGCTATTATTCCTCTTTCTTTATTAGTCCTGGATAGCAAAGCAATAGACCTCATGAATGCATTAATGAGGCTCAATCAGATCAGGCCTGGGCTTCAGTATAAGCTCTTATCTCAGTCTGGCCCTGTCCATGCCCCAGTCTTCACAATGTCTGTAGATGTGGATGGCACAACGTATGAAGCCTCAGGACCATCCAAGAAAACAGCAAAACTTCACGTAGCAGTGAAGGTACAGTGTTTATTTTACTTAGCAATGCTTTGTTATTTTATGTTCCAAATAAGGTGCTTATTTTCCTATGGTAAATTAACATTTTCCAAGGGTTTTTTTTTTTTTTTTTTTTTTTTTTTTTTTGTCTTTTTTGTCTTTTTCCGTGTCCAGCAACGGATCGCAACCCTCAGTGCTGCCCC